GTGCCTGGAGACCCCTCACCTACTACCACCCATGTGGGAGCAAGATTAGCTCCATAACGTGGGACTCCATATTCGTCAATTTGGATATCTGCAGCCCCCAGGCCTGCTTAGATCTCTGACCCTTACTCTTTGCTTGGGGAGCTAGTTACTTTAATGGCTCCTACCATGTCAAAAACGAGACTTGCAGTCCCAAACCCAATGCTACCCAATCACAAACAATTAGTCTAACCCCCACTCATGTTTGTGTTAGACCCCCATTTGTCATACTATTGGCCAATATTTCTATCGATCCAGGGGAGCACCTTAATTGCACTGCCCCCAATGTCACCTGTCTATTGACGGCATACAGGGTCTATCCCGCTACTCTTCTCCTCCTCATGTGAGAACAAGCCGCAGTATGGTGCCGGTTAAAAATGCTACCCATTTCCACACTGTCATACTTATGGAGTGAAAGGAATTTACTTCCCTTGCTCATGTAAGACGTGACTTTGGTCTCACTGCAGCAATCATCGCCGTGGTTATTGCATCTCTAGGCACTACTGCTGTCACCACTGTGGCCCTCACCCAGGCCACTTCTATGGTAGAAACAATCAATCAGGTAGTAGAAAAATCAGCCACAGTGCTGTACACCCAATCTCAACTCAACCAACACCTGTTTCAAGCCATACACGTCCTTCAACAACAAATAGACATAGTTTCAGAAGAACTTACCTTGGTACAAAAAATGATTTTACTGGCCTGTGATCCCAGGTTCAGTGCACTGTGCTTGACTCAATACCAGGTACAAAATTTCACACAGACCAGACAAGAACTTCTTCAAGGGGCCTTGGTCCCAAGATTTTCCTAATTACTCAAACATTTTAACAAATCAAATTATACAGCTAAATTTGACTAGAGCTTCAGTCATGCCATTACAGACAGGCCTAATAACAAAAACCTGGGAAATTCTTAAAAGACTTTTTGATCCATCACAGTTACTAACCTATTTAATCGTAGGAGGCGTGCTCCTCCTTGTGTTGTTCATCCTCAGGTGCCTACTGTCACATATCCATAGCCACCGGACCATCAACAAAACAACCCTTCAAGTCCTCTCGGCCCTACAACATCCAGACCAGGGCCCTCCTCAGGAGGTCATGTAGGCCTGGCTAGCTCAGATATGAAAGGCCTCCTCCTAAACTAGCCCTCTACCCTAGCAGATCCCCCAAGACTACACCTTCCCCAGGGTTGGTAGACAATGACGGGTAAGATTCTACCAGGACAAATTAACCTAAGACAGGACATGCATGGGCTAGATGCATGCTCCCATGATGGGTAAGACTTATGCCCTGAGTAAGACCAACCTAAGACAGACACAACCTGTAATATCGAGGTCATCTCGAGGCAGGCACAATTATGTCAGGCAGCACCCCGACTCCCGCTGGACTGCCTTTAAAAACAAAAGGGTGGAAATGTATGAGGGGGTCGAGTTCATCTTGAGCGGGCACGATTATGTCAGGCAGCACCCAGACTCCCTCTGGACTGCCTTTAAAAACAAAAAGGTGGAAATGTATGAGGGGGTCTGTGGGTATCTTCCAGGCATCGGACCTGG